CACTTCTCTCTGTGTCTGTTTAGAAGCAATATGATACTGTGTGCTTTGCCACAACTCTGTAGTGCACTTTGAAATAATGTGGTTTTTGTGCAGCCAACATTGTTGCTTTTGCTCAACATTGCTTTGGATAATCATAGATATCTGAGTTTTCATAGGAATTGTGGGATTTTGTTTCTAGATGTGTGAAGAGTGTTACTGGTAATGAGATGAGGCATTGCTTTAAATCTGTGGGCTGTCTTTCTGTAGTATTACTATCCTAATGACATTATTTGTCTTGGTGCTAAATCATGTTACTTCAGGCTACCTTTGGGATTCTCAACACTGTTTAGGTTTTCCCATCACTTGTGTGTCAGTGTGTGCTTACATGTGCATGTAGTATGCACATGTGTGGGTGTGTGTTTTTATTTGTGTGGAGGCCACAGGTCAATGTCAGGTGTCTCTTTGATCACTCTCCATCTTATTTCTTGAGATAGTGTCTCTCACATAATTGATCTAGACTGGATGGCCAGAGTTTTATATGTGGGAAGGTTTCTGAGAGATTGAACTCAGAACATGATGCTTTTGTAGGAAGCACTTTACCAGCTGGGCTATCCCCTCAGCATGTCTCTATTGCTTTCCAGAGGCCAATCTCTCTGTCTTAGAATGTGGTGTTTTCTTTGTTGCCCTGGCTCTTCACAGTGTCTTACAGAGAGAAATTCTTTTCTGCAATCTTCTTGCTTCCCTTAGTGAATCCATTTATTCTACTCTATATTTACTAAATCAATCAATTGCTAATGGATATTTAGATTATCACTAGTTTTTTCATTCATATTTATTTGCTTATGTATATATTTTGAACTATAACAAATTAAAAGAAACAAATAAAAATCCAGTGAAGAAAACTGTTACGGGATTCCATGTCTATAAATATGTTAGTTTTCCTGGAGTAGGATGGAATTTGTTCTTAAAAGAGCTGTACCAAAGATCTACACCTTACCTCATTTGTAAGATATTGACAATCTTGTAAGTTGAGTTTATATCTGTATTAGTAATGTATAAATTTCTCATTTATTCAAATCACAACTAACAATTTACATTAAAAAAATGTATTCTGGTGCTGTTCCTGCCCCTCATCAGCTGCAGGACTCAGGAGAATGGCCCTTACACCTTTCCTGGGCAGCACAGTAGAGCCAGCCCTGAAGGTGCAGGTGTGGGAGAAGGACCCTGAGGAATTGAAAGCCAGGAACTGGTTCCACCCCTTCTCATCTCTTCATGGCTTAAAGGAGTGAATTAGCCTGGACAGTGTTGGAGAGCTCACCCTGGTGGTGAGGACAGGGAAGAGCTGGCGGGCTGACCAACCCTGCAACTACCCAAGCCCAGAACCAAGTTATATGTTGGCCCACCCTAACATCCACCCCATTTTTGATCTGCTGGAGTAAGGAGGTTGGGGTAGGGGAGCTGAGTCAGTCCTGTAGACTCAGGGCTGCAGGATCTCCATGACACGGAGCAGCAATGGGATGTCCAGGAAGAGTCCCAGGGAGGGCCCAGCATCGATGGTGCAGCAGAGACAAAATATCCTTGAATCAGACCAATCATTCTTTGTGATAAACGCCTGCAAGTAAAAATGTATGGATAAAGGGGTTTACTGTGTGACTCAGTGTTTCACACTACAGCTTCCATGATGAGATTTTCCCCTTCTTCCTTACCCCTTTTTTTCCCTTAAATTTTATCTTGTTTTATTTTGGGGGAGTAGAGACAGGTGGGATTGGGAGGCACGATGTGAAAGACACAAGGAATAAATAAATAAATAAATGTTAAAAATGAACAAAAAACTGTATTCTCTCTCTGACTAAGCAATTGGCATTAAATTCTACATCATTTTTATTTAATGTATATACATATATATTTTATATTTTTCAATTTCTGTTAAGATTGAGAGCTTTTATATTCTTAATTATTTATGTGTGCATCTTATATAAATTACTTGCTCATAAGCACCCCTTGCCTAATTTTCTTATGTATGTGAGTGTTCTTATATGGATATGATCTTTGAATCGTTTCATTTATTTAGTTACCTAAGTTTGTATTGAGACCATGATGTTTTTTTTTCTTTATGAAAGACTTGAGTATGCTGTTAGTATAAATCACCAGCCTTAGCTTACCAGTGTAATCTCCTACTCTTCAGTAAAGGAAAACATCCATTTCTCTCAGTTTAACAAAAAATTAAACTATAATAAAATTCCAATTGTTTTCATCCAATATGACATGAATTTGTAAATTATCTTGAAGTATTTATAATTTGTACAAGTATCTGATGTTTACCAAATTTTTTTGGTTTTTAATTTATTAACTTTAGTATGCAAAGTAATAAGTTTCATCATTATATTTTCAAGCATACTCCATTGTATTTTGTCCTATAATTATTCTTTATTACTATCTCTCATTCCCTTCTTCTCTCTTACTGTGTCCCCTGCTCCCCACAAATAGTCCTTTCATGCTATATTGGCCTAATTTTTGATGGTCTATAATACTTGTTTTTTGAGCCTTTTTGTTGCTCCAAATGTTTTATAATTCTTTTTCTGTGTCCTGTAATTTCTTTGTGGTATGTTAAGAGATGATTTATATTTTTCTGTTTGAAACTCTATGTAATATTTAGCTAGAATGCACTTCTGTTATAAAAATATATATTAACACATTGTCTCTTTGAATCCTGCTTCTCACACTTCTGGAGCTGATTTTGAAACATGTGGCAATTTATTGCAACAATCTCACAGTGTAGCTGATAGCTCACTCTCCACCTCCTGTCTCATAGTGTGCTTCAGCAGTGAAGTCTCCTTTAGAGCTCCCATATTCCATTCTCTTTATCAGCTCTTTCTGAAAGTATGCTTGAACTATTGCTCTTCTGCCACTTAGATCTGTCTCAAGTCTCAGGAGGACTGCACCCACCTGTCTTAAGGGGTCTGTCTCAGTCCCCTTGTAACATCAAACAAACTGTCTAGCACTTGAAAGTCATGCTTTTACTGTTACTAGTGGAAGATCCCTAAGATCATGCTGATGCCAGGCAGTCCCACTACGTTCCTTGCTCCATGAGAGCAGTGTTGGTTTCTGCATTTTATTATCTTTGCATCAATAGACATGCAGGAAATGAGAGTGTAGAGATAGAGAACAGTCAGGAATTATCAAAACCTCAGGCTTGTGCCATGTTTTTCATAATAGATGAGGTTTTTTTTTTTTTTTTTAATAAGTTTAATGAGACTGAAAGCTAGGGGTAGTTACCTCCTCAGGGAAAATAGACCACAGCCCCAATGAATCAAGATCGTTTCCTTACCTTTGTATCTATTAGCCGTCTCATAACTGCAATTTCTACATAACTGACTAAGAACTAGAGAACATGTCAGTAACCATATGATCTTTTATGAGTAAGTTTCTTCTAGAATATTTCTTTTAGAGTAACTGATCAAGTTCTAAAATTATGTCACATGTAGCAATCAGAGGGAAAAATGCTTTTACACTTTTGACCTAAAGAAACAATCCTGAAAGCATTTACTAACAAATATTTTCTCAGCCCTCCTAAGTACTACTTACTACTTATAATACTTCAGGGAACAATAATCAAAAACCCACCACACTCATTGAAAAGAGGCAGGGTCTACACCAAAAACAGTATTTCAATACTCAGGTTGCTATTCAACACGTAATTCAAAATCATGTGAATCATTTGAAAGAAAGAAATACAATTATTTGGGAATATTTAATAAATCAGCATGACATACAGTTACAGGAGGGAGGACAAGTTTTACATAAAGATTGACTTCTGAACTAAAAAAAAAATGTTTTTTTAGATTTGTAGGCATTGATTTGATCAAGAGGTGGTGGGGGGCATTTCATGAAGAACTATTACTGCGTACGAACACTCTGTAGCAGGAAGTAAATTAACAATTATGAGAGTTTAAAAGAAGGCCTAACATATTTGGTTAAAGGAAATAAAAAGAGAAAATATTTAGAGTTAAGGATCTGAAGAATTTTTCAGAGTTTCAAGTGAAGTTCTAAGCTAGAACTTTTTGAATTGAGACAAAACTTTGTCATCTACAAAGTACACTCTCAAGAACTGCATGATGAAGTAAGAAAAACAAATCACAAAAAAGCATGAAATGTTTTGCGTGAGCTTATGATTTTATGCTGAGCCTCATTTGGCTGTCCTCAACATGTTCGGGGGACTGTCTCAGTTAGGGTGCCTACTGCTGTGAAGAGACACCATGACCATGGCAGCTCTTATAAGGAAACATTTAATTTGGTCTGGCTTACAGTTCAGAGGTTTAGTTTATTATGATGGTAGGAAACATGGTGGCACTCAGGCAAACATGGATCTTGAGAGGTGGTACAGAGTTCTACATTCCGATCTGCAGGTACTGAAGAGAAAGAGACACTGGGCCCGGCTTGAGCATCTGAGACCTCAAAGCCACCCCCAGTAACACACTTCCTCCAATAAATCCATACATATTTCAACAAGGTCACATCTCCTAATACTTCCACTCCTTATGGGCTTATGGGGGCCATTTTCATTCAAACCACAGGGTCTAAGAAAGGACAGTCATCTTATTAAATGCCCAGCCATTATCCAAAATGTTGAGATGATTTTTCAGCATAGAAGTGACGCTCTGTAGCTTTCTAAATGCTAATCAGACACGAAGTTTCAACTTTTTCATTTTTAAATATTGGTCATGTTTTTTTTGCAGCTGAATTCTACCTTTGGTGGTGGTAGCAGAGCCATGAAGAAAAATAACGTATTAGGTTCTAGGCTTATGAGATTTTTTTTTTTTTTATATCAAACAGTTGGTACCTTGTGTGATGGCCACTATCTCTAAATGTATTGACTAAAATGTTCAGGTAGCATTGAAGTTACCAGTTCAAGATCAGTCAGGGCTTCCGTAAAGCAATCAAAGCTGGCCAGAAAAGAACAGCCTTATGTGTGTTTTGTTTCCGGTTGCTCTTCAACACAATTACCTTGTCCTTTCCACCAGGTGGTTGACCAGATTGATACCCTGACTTCTGACCTGCAGCTGGAGGATGAGATGACTGACAGCTCCAAGACAGACACGCTGAACAGCAGCTCCAGCGGCACAACGGCGTCCAGCATAGAGAAGATCAAAGTGCAGGCCAATGCCCCCCTCATTAAACCTCCAGCACACCCATCTGCTATCCTCACGGTTCTGAGAAAGCCAAATCCTCCACCACCTCCTCCAAGGCTGACACCTGTGAGGTGTGAAGAGCCTCCGAGAGCGGCGCCGCCGACTGTCAATCCTGTAAAGACCAACGGCACCCTCCTACGGAATGGAGGCTTACCGGGTAGACCCAACAAAATTCCAAATGGAGACATCTGTTGCATACCCAATAGTAACTTGGACAAGGCCCCAGTGCAGTCTCTGATGCCCAGACCTGAAAAGGACAGGAGTCCCCAAGTAGGGCCTCCTCGGGAACGAGTACGGTTCAATGAAAAGGTACAATACCATGGCTATTGTCCTGACTGTGAGACCCGGTATAACGCAAAGAATAGGGAGGTCCAAATGCACAGTGAACCAGTCCATCCGCCTGGAAAGATCCCTCACCAAGGCCCTCCCTTCCCTCCTCCACCTCATCTCCCCACTTTCCCATTAGAAAATGGGGGACTGGGAATAAGCCACAGTAACAGCTTCCCCCCTCCCACACCTGCAGCTGTGCCTCCTCCCACTGCACCAAAACCACAGAAGACTATCTTGAGAAAATCCACCACTACCACAGTGTGATGTCTGCCATTTAAGAAAACGTTTTGTTTGTTTTTAATTTTCTATATGATAAACATAAAATGATAAGTAATGAGCACTTTCTACTCAAGCAATAAAAAGCCCAAATATATTAATCTGCATTCGACAAAGTGGCATAAAAATCACCTGGTAAGTATGCAGAGTGATGCTTCTGTCCTGGATGTACATTGTTTTACATGTTCCTTCATCAGAAACTGCCAAATAATGAGAAAGTATGAATGCATTTTATTTTTTGCAATTGACCTATGACAAACTGTGACCTTCAGATTCCAAGTATTTTGATTTATTATAAGGGATGGGATATCAAATATTTTGATTTGTTGATAAAGCCAGGGCAATTCATTTCATTCATGCCTAACTCATCTATGCATTGATGATGTCATAATTCTCCCTTTGATCTAATGTTTTTTAATAAGAATTTTAATACCGAAGGACTATTTTATTATTTTTCTAAAGATGTTTGTCAATAATTTTGCATCATGAAATGCTGAGGACAATATCAAAAAGTTTATTTTCTATACTATACAATTATGAATCATGTGTTCAAATATATGTGTAATAAAATATTTTAAGCTTTGGAAACATGTCAATAAATAATGGTAAATAATGAGAAGGCCTAATGTTCCTGAGGATTAAAATGAAGTAGGGGTTCCTTTAACCCCATGTTATCATTCACTGAAATGGGAAGCAAGTCCCAAGAGTTTGGACAAGATGACATTGTATATCAGAATTTCTAGACTAACTATCATAACTCATTTGGTAAGTACATCCTTCCAACAGTTTCATATTCTACACCTCCATTATGGTACTTCTAGAACCATCTGCCGAAAGCCTTGGATGTTGTCAAGCCGTTTTTCAGAACACATTGTAGATAAGAACATTGAAAGTTTGGAATTGTTGCCTTCAGCCCATCTGAGGTAGCTCAATGTTCCTGAAAAGAAGACACACTTTTATAGGAGGGACTGTGGAGGTGTCTCTGGTCACAGAGTGTGTCCAGCAATGGCCTTTCCCCCTTTCTCTTCTGAGTTAAGGATGTCAGGGGTTTTTAATGTCCCGTATAAGAATATTTTCCTTCTACCATCAAACACAAGTCTTTCTCCTCGGTAGTATTTGCCAACTCAAGAAACTTACAAACTAAAGGGTCAGTCAGTTCCCAGCTGCACTGATTTGGAGTGATGTGATGCTTTGCTTTGGAGCTAAAACTTAGTTATCTCCCCTAAAATCATTGTGAGGGAATGTGCCAAGGTGGTGGGGGAAGGTCTTTAAGAGGTAACAGTGCCAAGCAACATGTTGATGGGAATTATTATATTGTGTGATCTGGAAAGTCTAGTGACCTTTTAAAATATTTGCCTTTTAATTTTAAAACTTTAACTTTTGCTGCTACAGGGAGGCAGCTTTATAATTTAGAATACCCCTTTAAAGAGATTTCTATTGAAATATGACAATGTATTTTTGGGAAGAATATAGAAAGAAAATAGCCTTTATTATCGAAATGAATAAATGAATGAATGAATGAACAAAATAAATGAGGAACAGATAATGTCCTGTTACAAATTTGATAGAATGCTATTTTATCTTTTTGTGTTGTACATGAGGGTGATGTAAGCTTAATAATCCAATATTTCAGAAAAGATATGAAACAAAAATGAAGAAAGACAATGAGCTGATATTTATTAACTGTATGATCAGTGTATTTAAGAGACACCACCCAGGTAAATAAATAACTGAATTGTTGAATACCAAATAATGTGTTTTTAGCTTTTTACTCTATGCATTGTCTTGAAATAAAAATTATTGTAGTTATATCACAATTTTATATCTAATATATTATTATCTTTTACACTCCAAACTAATGATAGATCCTGAACTTTATTTTCTTCCTTTAGTCCATCTTTCTTTTTCAACCAGTTACTAAGATCTAACAATCACTATATAGATTCAGATTTTGACCCATGTCGATGTCTGGGAACCATGTTGTATCTCAAGGTATCACAAATAATTCACAGAACAGAAAAAAAAATTTCTGGTAGTAAAGCAAATTGAATAAGCTGAATCACTGAAATTATTTGAATAAGGATGTTGGCTTATATCCATAGGAAGAAATCTTAGAGATCTGTAACACGAATTGCTCAACATCCTTATTAATAAAAAAACCCCCAGAGCCAGATATCAGGGTGAAAGCTGAAAGATCAGCGAAGCAGAGCAGCCAGCCACTGGTTTTTACCTCTACGAAATCCTCAGCCTAAAGAGAATGAGTTTCTGTCTCCTCATGCCTTTTATACCTTTCTCTGCCCAGACATCACTTCCTGGGATTAAAGGCATGTGTGCTTCCCAGTACTGGGATTAAAGGCATGTGCCACCACTGCCTGCTCCATTTCCAGTGTGGCCTTGAACTCACAGTGATCTAGATGGATCTCTGCCTCCCCAGTGATAGGATTAAGGCTGTGTGCCACCATTGCCTGGCCTCTATGTCTAATTTAGTGGCTGACTCTGTCCTCTAATTCCCAAGCAAGTTTACTAGGGTACACAATATATCACTACAGAGATCCAAATCTATCTCTCTTCTTGAAAATATAGGCAAATTTTCCCCATAAAAGACCATCTCTTTCTGTTTAATTGGTGACTACATCTGTTTCTAAATCAAAGTATTTATAGCAAAATATTTACCTAGAAAGTTGAGTCAAATTTCAACTAAAAATATCATGTTCATTGATTTATAATATAGATATATAGAATATATTATGTATTTTATACATATACATAATACATATAATTTTATGTAAATAATTTATTAGCCAACATAAACAGTAGAGTATAAACCATCAGGACTTTAAGTGTATTTTAAATCCATTTTTTTCAATTTTCTTTAACATAGAATATACTGTACCAATGTGATTTTTACAGAAATAATAATTTTACCACACTTACTGGAACCTGTTCTTTGAACCCATAGAAACCTGTAAACCATGTAACAAAATTAACATAGAACATCATAATATTTCCCTGGAGACATATAATTAAAACATCCCTAATGGCAGAGCAGTTTTTGTAACCAGCCAACATTGCTCGCAAAAATGAGAATTTGAAGTGCACACTCTGCCTGCTATGGAGCAGAGCATTAGGAAATAAAATAATCATTCCTCTTTCTAAAAACAAACACATAGACAGAAACACTTTATTTTCTTAAAAGCAGCTACTCGTTAGGACATGCATATGTGAAATTTTATTTACATTGAGTTTACCATAGAGTTCATGCCCATGCTCCATTGAAGGTGTGATTCCTGCTGAGTGTGACATGCAGACACTGCCTATGACAACATCCCTTCGTGGTGTAGTGCCAAAATATATTTCCATAGACATTGTAGTTGTTAATTAAAGAAGAGTGAGAATTGTATGCTTTTTCAGTATAGACACATATTTACAAATTTTAAAGGCTATTATATTTCTATTCAATAATGACAAGAAATTTGAAAAAAAAATTACCTCCCAATATTTTTAACAATTTTATAAAGGACTCAGTCTATGATTTTTAGATTTTTTCTTTATTTTTACAGAACAAGATTTCACTGTGTAGCTTTGGCTGTCCTAGAACTCGCTCTGTAGACCAGGCTGGCCTCGAACTCACAGAGATGCCTCTGCCTGCCTCTGCCTCTCGAGTGCTGCGATTAAAGTCATGCACCACCACGCCCAGCTAGATAATTCTTAAGCTAAGTAAAATATTTTCAGAAAAATACAAAAATATACAAAACTGTAGAATTCTCCCCTCTCCAATATGTTATCATTTGCATATGTTTCCTCACTAATTTACTAATGCTGAGAAGAAATGCATTTGTTTACTAAGGTGCCTTAACTGACCTAAGAAAAGCACTTAGATTTGAAGCATAGCTTCTCTGCTATTGTTCATAGAGTAAAGCAAGAAGACATTTTTTTTATGGTTTTCTATCAGTATTTGCTTTTAGCATGATCAAGGCATCACCTACGGAGAGTATGACACTATTCAGAACCTTTTATCTGTAGAGTTCAATTAAGTCTCCTTTTTCTGGTGTTCTGTGAGAAAATTCAGAGTAGTTACATTCTTAATTGCATGTAATCAAGTCAGGAGCCATTTCTTGCCTGGATATATTTCTGTACTATATATGGCTGAGACTCATAATGATCCTGAAACTTCTGGGTTTTTTTTCCTCTCTTTATTCTTTCCGGGTAACATATTTTCCTGTAATGTACAATTAAAACTGGAGCAAAAGATTGCGCTGCAATTTACTTCACTAAAATACTGATGATTTCTAAGTGAGGAAATGATTTATGAGCAACAGAGTTTTTAAAAAGTCATATCACATAATTAGGTAAAGTGCTCGGGCTGTGACAATTACTGGGCATTATCATAAAATCACATGGCATTTTCTGGGTCAATGTGTAGCTGTGGCACTATAATTAAGTTTCCAGAGTAAACATTTCAGAATTTTAGAGTCATCCAACTTTGATGATTCTGAAATAATGGCAGGCATGATGGAACTGTTAAGGCACATGGCTGTGTGGAACATACATTACAGTTGGCTTCTCTTTCATGAAGCAGTGATTATATGGGTGATGTTCCATTTGGAGCACTTAAATTTATCTTTCCTATCTCTTATGAGAGGAGCATATTTTTTTTCTGGGCATTTTTATGTTGGCATGACTCCTCATGCCTTTTTATCCCCAAACATCAACATTTAATTGTGTTCTTCACAGCCCTGAACGCTGCACAACTTTTCTTTATTCTGAATAGTTATTTTGATGCTTAGAAATAGTTACCTAATGTTGTTTTGACATTCTTAATGTGTTTGAGCTTCACAGGATATAAAAGGGGATTTCAGAAAATTTAGCCACCATCTAAATGGAATGAGTCCCTGAATAATGCAAGCCTCATTTTCTCATGTATAATAACATCAGCATCACCTGCCAGTTCTCTCCCTAAATTCAAACACTGTTATTATGAGTCTTTCTTCCAAGAAGGTCTGATTCCATAGCATTCATGCTCTTGACCCTAGGTGTGTCAATTTATTCACTAGTGTTTCCTTTGTGAATTTCATCTATTTAACACTGACCCCCGAGAACTCAAATAGCGCTGGTTCACAATGGGACCTTTAAGGAACCAGTGTGATACAACCTCTCTAATGAGAGCTGACATTCTTTTGTTATTAAACAATGGATGCAATTTCCTTCAATCTTAAAAAAAATATAACTGTCAATTCTCATAATCAAAGGGGGCTTTGGACCAGATAAATTAAATGATGTGTGTGTAGAGTGGGGGTACAAGTTCATGACAGCAAGACATGTGATATCAAACACTTTAAGGAGGCTTACTTTCTCCTGAAATACTCTTCAAAATGCTTTGTATGTATTATTTTTTATTTATCACATCATTTTTTTTTCTCCATAACATCTTGAAACTTTAGACATTTTTATTATCTAAATTTTACAAACTAGCAAAGTGTGGTATTGGAAACCAGGTGCCTGAGATCTTAGAGTCTTTCATGGCAAAATGATAAAATTGAAAGGCAAGCATATGTCCTCCACAACTCACTTTCATTACTATCTCCAGAAGTAAAGCATTGACTGAGCATTGTTCACAAATAATCTGTTGAAACCAAATTAATTATTCTCTAGAATTTGCATGAAAAGTTATTTCTTGATATACAGTGAGAAAAACAGTGTATTTCTGCATTAGTCAAGAGTACCTACATCCCCATTCTACCAGAGCAAATAACTCTAGTGTCTGTGCCTTCCTAAGCCCATAGCACCCATTTAAAAAATAAGCTGTAAAGATCCAAATTCATCTTCTAGGGCAGACAGCAACAGCCAAAGTAGGTGGAACTGAAGACACTCTGTCAGGCTTTCATGCATCATTAGTAACACTAGTCATGTGAACCCATCATGCTTACTACCATGTCCAAAGATTGATGGGTTTGTAGTGTCTATGACCTCATCATTTTAACAGTGGTCAAAGATCCCCCTCCTTTTTATATCATGTCATGTTGCTTTCATTTCAACACAATTAAGATGTTTTGTTATTTGAATAATAAATAAGAGAAAATAAATATACCTGACAAGAGCCGTATTAAAAATTCAGTAAAGGAAATGAACATTTGTGTGTGTGTGTGTGTGTGTGTGTGTGTGATAGAGAGAGAGAAAAAAGGAGAGAGAGAGAGAGAGAGAGAGAGAGAGAGAGAGAGAGAGAGAGAGAGAGAGAGAGAGAGATGAGATATTTGTATTTTATTTTAACCTCTAAGTACATTATAAGTCTGTCTGAGGCTACTCACCACCCTATAATATTTTATGTAAACATTTCAGAATTTCTTATTAAATTTTTCTTGAACAAAATTTCTTTGAAAGGGTATTAATCTTTTTTATCCCAGAAGCCTAGCACTTACTGGGTAGCCTAGATTGACCTTGAACTTACATCAGTCCTCCTGCTTCAGCCTCCTGAGTGCTGGGCTAATAAAAGGCAGCTTAAAATGCATACATAAAGAATTGTTGAGTACATTAGGTTACTATATGCATAACTTTACTCCAAAAGATGCATAAACCTGGTTTGACCACAGATACTCATAAAATAGTCAGAGAAACATGCAATCCTACCCCAGAAATATGTTCCTAGACATATACATTGGGACATTTGTATGTTTAATATGATTCAGAAGGAGAA